GGAAGCCTGCATAAGACCGAACTAGACTCCCTTCATATAGGTGACAATGGTGTGACTGGGACAATATACGAGGCCACTGGCAGTGAGTTCAAGACCTAACACTAATGCACAAACTGACTCAGTGGAGCCCATTCTATATGGGGAGATACCAAGCCCAGCCTAGACACAGGGGTGTGAGGGTGGAGAGGTGCCTTGGTCCTGCCTCAGCTAGATGATAGGACAGGCTTAGTAGATGGGAGTGGGGAGGAGGGAGGGGAGCGGGAGGAGAGGAGGAAGGGGAAACTGGGATTGGAATGTAATAAATAAATAAATAAATAAATAAATAAGGCTGCTGAGTGATGGTGTCACATGGCTTTAACCCCAGCACTCCGGAGGCAGAGACAGCTGGATCTCTGAGTTCAAGGCCAGCCTGGTCTACACAGAGAGTTCTAGGACAGCTATGACTACAACAGAGTAACCCTGTCTCAAAAAAAAAAAAAAAACAAGAGTCAGGAGGGTCACTTCAAGTTCAAGAAGAGCAACCTGGGCTCCTCAGTGAGCTCCAGAGCAGCCTAGACTACAAAGACAGTTGCAGCACAGCCTGATGAGGCAGCATGGATTCAGGGACTTCCATGGATTATCCACGGAGAACTTGGTAGCTGAATGAACTAGTAGTTGGCCAGCCTGGTTGGAGGGGTAGGTCACTGGGGACAGGCCCTCATCGAGTGTCTTATTCCAAGTGCTTTCCCATCTTGCATTGCTTCAGGGACACCAGGAGGGGAGTAGCTTCCTCTGGCTCATGCACCCCCACACACCCCCATTATAACACACACACACACACACACACACACACGCACGCACGCACGCACGCACGCACGCACACACACGCGCACACACACGCCAAGATGCCCTGTCTCACCTCAGGCCCAAAGCAATAGAAAAGTAGAACCGGCCGGGCATTGGTAGCACAAGCCTTTAATTCCAGCACTCGGGAGGCAGAGGCAGATGGATCTCTAGGAGTTCGAGACCAGCCTGGTCTACAGAGCGAGTGCCAGGACAGCCTCCAAAGCTACAGAGAAACCCTGACTCAAAAAAAAAAAAAAAAACAAAAAACAAAAAACAAACAAAAAAAAAAAAACGTAGAGCCAGCTGAGCTTGAACAGAACTTTAGATACCAAGTCAAAATAAAATCTTGTTTTCTTTCTTTTTTCAATGCCTAAGTACAAACCCAGGGTCTGGAACATGCTAGGCTAAGCTATATCTTCAGCCTTTGATTTTCAGACTCTGACCATATCTTAGGCTGGCCTTTGAACTTGAGATCTTGTCTCAACCTCCAGAGTTCTGGGATTGACCCAGACCTGGATTTGGAATATATATAGTTTTAAAACTAATTCCCACAGCCAGGCAAGCTGCTGCCTGCCTGTAATTTCCGTATTCCCGGGTGGATGTGGGAGAATCAGGAGTTCATGCTCGTCCTCTGCTAAGTAGGAAATTTGAGGGCAGCCCGGGCAATGTGAGACGCAGACAAGAAAGAATGGTAGGTGGATGGATGGAGAGGGAGAGAAGGAGAGAGGCCAGAAAGGCTCAAATAGCCAGGAGGAGACTTCATGTCAGCACAGGCTGCAGCTAGATAAATATGGCCACTAGGGGGCACTGGTAGCTAGCAACTTCTAACCGACTGCAACGAATCTCAAGACAAATGCATGGGTAGTTTGGTGGCACACTAAATTTTGTGGAAGAAATTAATCAGGTTAATTCTAACAACAGATGTTTCATGGCAGTGGTGACAGGAGAATTTGGGACCCAGGAAAGCGCGGTGGCAGGTCCATGTAGGCAAGAAACCAGGTGTGTGGATGACTACAGTAAAGCAACAGGGGACCAGACAGAGTGAGAGGGGAAAAAAAATTACCTTTTTTCCCTCCTGAGACAGGGTTTCTCTGTGTAGCCCTGGCTGTCCTGGAACTCGCTCTGTAGAGCAGGCTGGCCTGGAACTCAGAGATCTGCCTACCTCTGCCTTCCAAGTTTGGGGATTAAAGCGGCAAAAACAAAACAAAACAAAACAAAACAAACAAACAAAAAAAAACAACCAAACAAACAAACAAACAAAAAAACACCACAAAAAACAAAAACGAAACAAAAAATATTTTTAAATATTTATTTGGGGGGATAGTTGATTCAGGCATTAAGAGTACTGGCTGCAGCCAGGCGTTGGTGGCGCACACCTTTAATCCCAGCACTCGGGAGGC